GCCACAGTATATCGTAAACAGACTGCAAACCCTATGTACATCCCGAGTGACTCATGTGACCCATTTCAGTATAAAGTAGCCACTTTTAGATCCTTGGTCAGAAGAGCGTACACTCATTCATCCACTCGAGAGGCACTGGATAATGAGTTAAACCATATTGAAAGGATTGCTAATATTCATGTCTACCACAATCTTATTCTGAAAATCTCAGACTGCCACAAAACACTAATGAACCACAACACACATACGAGGGCACATGCAGGCAACCAAGATATAGATGTAGAAAGAATACCGATTACATACAAACTGGCCTTGAGATCCATTTACGCATCTATTGCCAAAAAACGTAAGATCAACATTGCATACAGGAGAACTCCAACTGTATTTGACATGTTACATAATGGAAAGGACCCATCTGACCCGAGTAAATGCCAGGCATATACCAAATCCCTGTGAGCGGTGAGAGATTCAGTAGGGATTTGATCTACATAGGATCAACGAAACACTCGATGGGGACCAGAATTAAGGAACACAAAGCAGATATACAATACAACAGAGCCACCACGTCACTCGCGATTTATGCGTCAGAACCAGGAATCACTGCAGACTTCGCAGGGGCATCGTTAATAGTCAAAACAATACACATGGACCATCTCAAATGGCTAGAAGCAATAGAAATATATAAGGCGCATACGACATCTATGTGCATTAACTCCCAGGAAGAAATGGCTCTTTCGATAGCTTGGCAAGCCTTATTACATAATGATTACAAGGGATTTAGTTGGTGTAGGAGGATGCATGAGGATATGTAACAGTCATAGTAAAAATAGTGCATCATATACGTATGAGAAGAGTGAGTGCGATTCTGAATGATGGGGACACAACAGATACAACGCATGCGCAGTGGACATCGCACAATTGAATCATCGTTTGAATTTTGTTCTTTTTAAAATTGCATAACAGTGTTTTAGAATAAGGAATCCAGCCATTTTACCTGAGGAAGGACACAGAAGATGTTCGGAAAATGTTTGTTTCTTCAAAGTTGTGTATTTTATTGTATTTCTTCACACTGGTTAGAGGCTCGAAGTCAAGGTTAGATGCAACCTTGACTTCATCCCGGTGTGCATGAAGAAGTTATAATTTTAAAGACATGGACACATTAGCAGTGGCTTGGAGGGCAACCTTTGATGAACGATAGATGTCAAGTTTGTTTTTTATATATTTTATATAAACTTAATATTTTAAAACTGGAATCCAGCTGGAAGACAAATTTTCTAAACACATCACTGAGCATGTGCATATCTTCATGACATGCGACATTTTAAATTTTTGGAATTTTACATTCTTTTGCTAACATTCCATTTACATTGAAACCTGATGATGACCGTTTAAAACGGAACAAAACATTTGTTTAGATGATAATTATTGCTGGTTTAATGGTAATTGCTGATTTTTTCTTTTAAATTATAAAAGAAGTTTATATACTAATGATTAACAATTTAAAACATACGTTTAGGATTAAAAATTTATAACAACCTATATAAAACCTACATACTATATTATGTATGTATGTATATGAATCATTTAAGAACTTCTATTCATAATTCTTTTGTTGTAAAATTTCCATGATTATTTTTCAATATTTTAAAAATTGTAATTTTGAATTTTCTTGCTCCTAAAAACATAAACAGAGTTTTGAAAATGTCAAAGACATTAGAAGTGTTGACTTTCAATATTCATTATTATATCTTATTTAGTAAAATGTAGATATAAATAATAAGTACAGGAAATCCTTGTTAATTCAAACTCAGATAGTTTGAAATCTTGTTAATTTGTAAGTGTACTTTTGTCCTATTTAGGGACAAAAGTACACTTACAAATTATCAAGATTTTTTGATAATTTGGCCTTGGCCTTACAAATATCTCAATCTGGTCCACAGATTGAGATATTTGTAGGGCCAAGGCCAGGAATCACCAAACTTTTTTCTCTGTGGACCAGATAGCTGAGTGAAAGATGAGCATGGGCCGCCTAACTATTTTATTTATTTTTTAACTTTTTCCACTCTGTGGGCACTAAGAGGGCCTGCCTATTTTAGCAAGCCCATTATGGGTTTGGTCAGGTGCACATTGGGATGGCCAGATGGTGAGGGACAGGGCTTGACATATCTGGATGGATCACCCTCTGAAAAATTCCTGGGGATTTTTCAACCTGTCCAGATGCGATCCCGATCTCCCAGAGTGGTACGCTGCCACCTTGACTGCTTGGCCATCCGGCCAGTGATGCATAACCTTTTTATTCAATACAGTTTACTGAATACACAAAAAACAAAAACAATCAATTTATTTATTTATCAATACACAAACATTATTGGTGCAGCAAGCTGGTAATTGCTTTTGTTAGAAACTTCATTGCAGGTGATTACACAAAAGGTGCTCTGATATCCAAAGTTGCCAAATTTTTTTTCCCACTGATTTTCCTAAAAATTATATTACTGTCAGATGCAAAAATTACATTGGACCAATTTTGGCATTTTTAATTTTTTTTACATAGTAAGTTTATCTACAGTCAATGATATTTCTATATAAATAATTATATTTCAGCTCATTTATGGGAGAGTATGGCAGCAGGCTGGATGAGCTGACCTTGCAGGCCATAGTTTGGTGATCCCTGCTCTAGGCTATTACATTTGGGCCACTTTGAAAATAAGTTGGGCTACATTTTAAGGAATTCTGCTTTACTTTTTTAAAACCTATCTGGTGACCTGCAAGGTTCTCACCAGACAAGCACTGTTTACTTGCAGTTTATTTATATTATTATTATTATTATTTATTATTATTAATTAACAAAAATAACATTCTGTATAAGTAGCTGTATTCCGTTTACTTAATAAATTACATCAGTTACATCAGTTAATAAATTACATCTGGTATATTATACAGAAATATGTAAATTTTGGATAATTCAAAAACGAATAATTTGAAGTTGCAAATATTTCGTTCCCTGAATTTCAAAGTAATGAGGATCTCCTGTATATGTATTTCAAAATTAAATTAATGAAGCAAAAAATTTGGTAAAAAATTGACATATCCAAATTATGAAGTTTTTGAGAAAAAAGAGGATTTTTGTTTCTATTCACCAGTGCTCTAATATGCAATGTTTTATTAATATAGGTGTACAAACTGTTGGACATACAACTGAACCCTGAAAGTTTATTAGAGGACAGATTGATGATATACAAACCCAAATTTGTAAATAACTTGATTTTGTAGTTTTGCAGGATGCATCATTCACTTAGTCTTTCAATTACTAACAACAAAAAATTATTTGACACTTCTATAAAACAAATTAAATTTAACCCTTAACTGGTTTATTGGGGGCCGCGCGGCCCCCACGCGTCATATTTTTACGATTTTCTAAAAATCTAAATATTGTGTGCAGCTGCCATTTTATGTAATCTCATTACGTCGCGACTCTTAGCGAGTGCCAAATGTTCGGCCATGTAGCACTTACAAGGGTGGAGCTACGTACCTTCTGGGGGCCGCGCAGCCCCCATGATACCAGTTACGTTGGTTTTTTGTGGAAATGTGTTTTTATGTTTTTTTTTATTTTTACAATTATTTTGCAAAGAGATCTCAACCTTGCATCAAAAATTCAAAATGACTACCAAAGAATCATTTGAACTGCTAACAGATGATAATATCATACAAATTGCTAGATCAAGCCGAAATCTCCTGAAAAGAGTATGTTGTCATTTTGTGCTGGAAAAAAAGATGGTAAATATGCTACTAAGTGCAACAGTTGTTTGAAATTTATTTGCAAAGTGCATAGTACTACAAAAATACTATGTGATAACTCTCAAGACTGAACTACGTAATTGCGTTAAAATGTTCCTGAGTCTTAAAAATAGAAGTGATTATATTACCTGTGGTTTTTTAACAAATGATAGTTAGAGGCTATAAGAGATACTTTTTTATACGATTAGTTTCTTAAGAACAAGAAAAAAATATATCTTTGGTAAAAACTTACAATAGGGTAGATTTTTGTATTGTTAAAAAAAGCATACACCAAAAGTTGTAACAATTTTGTGATCTCTTGTAATAATTAAGTAAAGAAAATTATATAAATAAATAAAAGTTGATTATACTAAAGAAGGGTTCCATTTAGCATTTATGCATTTTTGAACTGTCACATTGTTAAACTTGCTCTCTAAAGGCAAATTTTGCTTGGGGGCCGCGCAGTCCCCATGATACCAGTTACGTTTGAAAAATTTACGATACCAGTTAAGGGTTAATATTATCATTATAGTTCCTTTTGAGATTCATTATCATTCAAATAAATTAATTTTTTGCTAATTGCTTTATTGATACATAATCTCTTACATAAAATGGTGTTCAAATATATTTTCATATATTTGAATTCTATTTTAAGTAGGACAACTGCTATTTAACAACTGGTTGTTATTAGATAACAATGAACACTACAACTATGAACGCTATGAATAAACCACATTTGCTGAAACATCTAGAACTGGTGGAAATTTACAAGACCACCCACGATAGTGTAGCTATGAATTTTTGAGATGTTGACTCCTTCCCCTCTGCATGGAAGTCATTCTACAAACCGTAAAACCCCCTCCCCTCTCCTTACATCATATACCCCACCCCTTCACATGTGTTTGGCAACTCCCAGTGTTTTTTGCAGCAGTTTGCTTGCCTGATGATGTCCATTTAACATGAGCAAAAACATTCACACTTCATGTTTAATTTTCTTGCTGGTATCTTAGGTATTTGTAATGTTCATTGTTATTCTAAATAGGACTGTAATTTTTACATAACTGAAGACAAAATCTTGATGGTAATTTGATTTTATATTTGTTAATATTTATAAATAGATAAATATTCTCTTTCATGTTTTATATATTTTGTGAATACTTTAATATTATACTTTAATTCTATTTAATTGGTAAGTTAGATTTTAATAATGATATTTGTTTAAATAGAGGGAGCAAGTGATAATAGTGGCATAACTCTTCACATGACAAGAAAAAGGTGAGTTTCAAACATACTTTTGTAACCTGTCACATGGAGTTATTAATTTATTTCAAATAATAATTATTTTTATATAATAGTATATATTTTTATTTATCAAATTCCAAAATAACTTTTTAGAATAATTTATTAAAATATTAAATAGCTGTTCTTCTTGAATATAACTTCCATATAACTAAGATGAATAATTTAACTTTAATTTACTGTCACATTGATTCTTAGCAAGTTAAAATTTTATATTAAGCATTTCAGATTTTATTGAGCTGTAATTTGAAAAAATTGTAGACCTATAAATTCCCACTGTCGTTTGTCTGTCTGTCTGTCTGTCTTTTCTTAATCTCAAGAACAGTGTTAGATAAAGAAAGTCAAGACCAGAAGTATAAAGCTTGGGACATGAGGCCCCAATTAACTATATATGAATGCCCAATGCAAACTGGAAGTAATGTGATTTCAATTCAAAAATTTTCCCAACAGGAGTTACATAAATTACTGGCATGACTCTTGTTAACAGGAAAAGTATGTTGTACTATACACTACTAATTTGAGATGGAAAACATAAACAGTATTTTAAATTAAATAAATTAAGAATATGATTAAAAATTGCAGCCTAGCATTGTGACAATGTCACAATGAATAATTGTTTTTATTACTACTAAAATTGTACATCAAAGCATTTATAAAATACTGAAACAGGAAGTCACATTATTATTTTGAAATGTATGATCAAAATTTTTCTACTTTTTTTTTATAAAATTTGAAGATGATATTACTTTTCCAAAATTTAGAAGTGAAACTTTTTAATTGTTCATAAATTTTCTTGATTATACATTAAAATTTAAATGAAGTTGTTAATCAGTTTAATAGTATGGAATTGAAGTTTGAATTTTTTCATTAGTTGATACACATTTAAATTTTTCTGATTATTCACAGAATTAACAACATATTTGTGTTAAATCTAAATTTTTAAGTTTTCTAAAACATCAAAGCAAAGATATACAATAATTCAACACTGAAGTGAAAATAAATCAGGAAATTATGTTAGAAATTTTCCAGTTGAATAAATCATATTGTAAGAAAGAAATTCATTATATCTTTTTTAGAAATGCTTTAATTTATGATTCAGCTTTATATAATGGCACATTAATTAAATGGTTAGCCTATTAGTTATGGCTATAATTAAAATCACTATTCACATCTTGATGTGATAAGCCCGTTTGATTATAACTATAACTAATGGGCTAACTGTTTAATGTATAGTTAACTTTGGGGCTAGAAGTGTATTTAATTTAATTCATATAACGGGGTTAATAACTAATTTTGTAACATTATTAGTTTTAGAAAATTAGTAATTATTGATTTAGATAAAGACAACTAAAAGTTTTCTAATTATACTATTATAAGTATGTATATTTTAATTTTTATTGTATAACTATTCTAAAAAAAGAAATAATTTATTTATAAATTAATTTTATAAATATATTTTCAGACAAAAATATATTGCTGGAATACATCTTTTATTATCTGGAAGTGCCATGATTCCACCTAAAAGCCCAAGTAAGCATATAATTTTTTAACTACAAAGAATTAATCTAGAATGGGTTAAAGACTTAGAATCAAAAGTAAGAAAAAATGAATTAAAAATAAACTTTTGAGCTGCAATATATAATTTCAAATAAAAAATTATATATTATTTGCAATTGGTAAATAAAATATTTACAATCATACTTAAATGAATATATTACACACTTCAATTTCTTATAAAAAATTTTTATCTTATTCTAAGCCAAATTATTCAAATTTTGATATTTGGTGTTTCTTAACTATACTAAAGCTTTCAATTTTTTAATCTGTTAAGGCTTGTTCAGACACATCCAGTAATTTAGTCAAGTAGTTAGTATCCTGTGGGCTTGAGTCTGCAGGAGTTGTGAAGTTCAGATGGAAGTTGGATAGTGAAACTGGCAACACAATTGCATGATATGTGGGAGTTGTGGGTTTGAGTCCTTTGGGCTAATTCTTTCAGAATCTTTAAATTAATTATTAAATTTATCAAAAAATGGCATCTAACACCTACCTCTGTGCCAAATTATTTAACATTTATTTATTAATAGTAGCATTAATATAGCCTGAAATAATCTGGCAATTGTTTGGCATTAATAATTTTATCAAAAAAGACTTTTTATTTAACTAACTAGTCTACACTTGTTGATTTCACATGCTTTATGCTATATGTAATGGAAGCAGTGGTGATATTCAGCGGGTTCGCACAGGTTCGGCCGAACCCGTTGTTAACATTTTCAAAGTTTTCCGAACCCGTTGTTAAACACACGTAACATTTCTCAGTGGTTTTGTTTCTTTTAAAAAATATATTAAAATATACGTATTATACTCTGTAACACTACTAAACTAGAGCCTTATACCCCGTTCGCCATGGTGCAACCTCCATCGACCGTTTCAATCTCGACTGAAACGAGATTTAATCGCGATCGACTCAAGAGAGTTCTTGAAACTAGGTCCAGTCATACGAGAGATCCCACAATCCCACGCGCGCGAGAAAATACAAGATGGCTGCGGAACACGTGTCGGGCTATCGACAGCGAAATAAAAAAGATATTGTATTTCGAGAGACGATGACATCTGTCTATTATTATAATAATACCTAATGATAAAATAAATGATTTAGAAAAGTTTTTTTTTGAGGAAAAGTCATAGGGAAAGCAGTTAAACCTGACTTTTTCTGATTAAAAAAAAGCCAATTTTTATGTTTATAAAATACTTCGAATGAAAAATATTAAAATATGTACAAAATAAACCATTTTGAACACTTTTTTTTATTATTTATCAATATATATATAGTTCTGGCATAAACAATGTTAAACTTTAACTGACTTAATTTTGCGAACGCATCTTTTTTATTTATATGGGTATCTTAAGGTCAATTTTTGCACTAATGTTGCTAATGCACCATTTAAGCGAAAAAAAATTGTTAAGGAAAAATTTTCTGTTAGCGAACCCTTTGTTATATATTTCGAATATCACCACTGAATGGAAGTAATTGACTTGCTCAAGTAAATAGAACTGATTTCATATTACTTGACTAAACAAATCACCAAATTTTATGTTTGCTCAAGTACTAAATGAAACTGTTCCCATGATACAAATAATTAAATTTAGCTACTCTACTCATGTAAATCAGGAATAAGTGTTTGAGATGGACAGACAATAGATGTATTTGTGTAGCACTAAATAACACTAAAGGAAATATTCATCTAATGAACTTTACTAAAAACAACTCTACTCAGACAATGGCAAGGCTATTTCTTGATCAGAAAAATAGAATTAAATGGATGTACTAAACTAAATAGTTTTAGTAAACTACTTGATTAACTTTCACTGTCCACACACAGTACATTACTAAATTACTTGCCACTCCATTAAATTACTAGACATGTCTGAACAAGCCTTTAGTCTACATAGTGTGCCGAATAAGTAATGAGACACCTAGCATTACATCCAAACTAAGAACTTTATTTCAATTTTGCAGTTACATGGATTCAAAATAATCCCCTTGCACCTCCACACAACATTTACATCAATCATACAAGTTGTTGAAAAATGCTGGAAGTCCTGATTGTGTACCTCCTTCAATCTGTTGGTCACAGTACATTTGATGTCCCTAATGTCACTGAAATGTTCCCCTTTTAATACACATTTAATTTTCAGAAATAGAAAAAAGTCTGTAGGTGCCAAATCAGGTGAATAGGGTGGGTGTTCGCGCACACAGATCTGTTTTGATGCTAAAAACTGTTTCATGGGTAGTGCACAGAGAGCCGTGCATTGTCATGCAGAAAAACCCAACCATGGCTTTGGAACAGATGTGTCTTGACACGATGCATGTGAGCAAAGAGACGTTGTATGACTCCAAAGTACTACTGTCTGATCACTGTCAGTACTGATGTACTCATAATAACATAACTTCATCAGTACTAACTAGTACTGATGAAGTCGCGTTGTTCATCTTCTAAGGATTCTCTTCCATTCTTAAATGCTGAAAACCAGCGGAACACTTGTGCACGACTAAGACAATCATCCCCATAAACAAATAGCATGTCTTTGTAAACTTCTGATGCTGTTTTTCCTAATTTACAGTAAAATTTTATCACAGCTCTAATCCATAATGCTACAGTTGACTGCCACTATTTGCACAACATTACTTTCATGGCTGCTGTGCATGCACTGACTGAGTCATCGACATGATCGAAGCATCTGCTGTTCAGCACAATCTAGCCAGTGAAATGGTAACCACATTTGGTGCATTTCTTGAAAGTATTCATGAAAAAAAATCAGTCTCATTACTTGTTTGGTGCACTGTGCATTTTAGTACCATGTTTTCTTGATTCTAACATGTCATCAAATGTAATGCACACTCAATTTTTGAAGATGTTGAAACTTGAAAAAGTTAGCTTGCAAATGTAATGCACACTATGTATCATCAATGACACAACTGTAGGAAATTAATGAATTCAAATAGTAATAAACATATTTTTGAAAAATTTTTTATTGTCATGTTTACAGTTCTTCACAGTGTTCACGTTTCCAAATATATTTATTTATGACTCCATTTACAGATATACTGGATCTGTGGACTTACAAAATCAGTCAAAATTATTGTACAATCAATGTTTTAACAGTGAGATTTCATGTCAATAGGCATAAGGATGAAAGTTAACAGATACATAATATCATACTGATTTATCTGTATACATATTCTTCAGTTAACAGACTAAATCTTGCAAATAATTTTTCACTTAAACTTAGTTTCATAGAGATCATCAACTATGAAGCTAAATTTAAGTGAAAGTTTTGGAATGGTAAACTATTCCAAATCCAAAACTAAAATTCAAACTGAAGTAGCAAGAGAGATGCTACCTCATCTATACCAACAACATAATATACACAAATGTTGAGTGAAGTGAGAAACAAATGACACAAAAGTGGCTGCATCTAATGTGCACTTCAATTTTGGAGACCAGAAAAGTCTAAAAAAGGTTTGCATTACAATTGAGAAAGCATGGTAATTTTTTTTGTAAATAAAATTTATGGATAAGAATAATAATAAGTTAAACATCAAAAACAAAAGATTATTGTTATATTATCAGAAAATTTAAGAAATTTTTTATTTTATTTAGTTTTAATGAGCTACAGCTTTTGTTAATTTTAATAAACTGTACATGACTTTAAAGTTCCTGATTTCTGATCTAAATGATTTTCAATATAATAAGAATTTTAGCTTATAAGTAAATGTTTCAATGACATTAAAATTTTTTGTTTAGAATACCATGTGGATGTAAATTGTTATTTTAGAGGTAGACAACCTATTCATACTTTTGCATATCGTGTTCATGCTCATAAATATGGTGTCGTTATCTCTGGATATAAATATAACATAAAAGATAATGCTTGGACTTTCTTGGCAAAAGGAAATCCACAGTGGCCTCAAGTTAGTATATTTATTTATTTTGTTTCTTCAAAATAATTTAATAACTAAAATTTGAAATTGTACATTGGGAAAATATATGTGAGTGTCCAACAGGTAAGAGCTGATAACCTGTAAATAAAAAGATTAAAAATATTTCTTTATTGCCATCTGTTTACACATGTATTAATTAAGTTACTTCTCAACATAACTGTATTTGAATCTGAAACATATCAAAATATTATTTTCTATCCTATTCCTCCCATTTTTCTATCCCATTATTGACATAGTCTGCTTCCAATGTTTTGATACCATCTTGAATTGCTCTTTTCACCTCATTATCACTGCTAAATTGCTGTACTGCTAAAAATTTCTTCAGGTTAAGAAATGAACAGTTGTTACTGGATGCAAGATCAGGATTGTAGAATGAATGTTTTTATGGAACTTTGCATTGTTGTGCAGCAAAACTCTTGAGCTAAGTAAGTCTTTTCTTGTTTTAGATTGCCTGTTATAATTTCAGTGGCAGATTTGTCTGCAGGCAGTTTGCTAAAATTAATTTTTATGGTCATTTGAAAGAAATTTGTGGACTTTTGTGAATTTTTCTATAAAATACAATGAAACAGATTTGTAGGAAAGTATGTAAATAAAAATAAAGATAATTTTCCAAAAAATTTGGAACAAAAGAAGATGAAATTCAGCAACACCATGAATCCAAACACCAACTTGTCTACAAAGGCCTCACACAGATACAGTGCTGCCACAAAGTTTTCCTTTTATTTAAAAGATTTCTTTAAACATAATTGACTATCTGTGTTCATGAATTTGTTAATAAAATGCTATGATTGATTGATTAAAAATATTGTTAATTTGAGGTGTAATACATCTAAACAGTGTTATTGTGTTGTATTATATGTGCACAGTAATTAATTACAATATACATACATATATGGTATTACATAAATGAATTAAATAAATGTATTACATAAATGTACAAAATTGTGCTGTCTTGAGAATCACATTTGATTTTCACCATTATTTTTTTTATTTCTGACTTATAATCAGGATTCCAGAATGGAACTTAATAAGGACTACTTGTATGTATATTCTCTCTAATGTTTGCTTTTGATGATCCACTACAATGTCTTTACATTGACTATTGTTTACTTTCTGATGTTACATGAACAATGCAAGTTTCATCTCCTATTAGAAATGATCTAAAATTCATCACTTTGTGATACAGTTGTAAAAAAAATTCAATGTTGTCAAAATATGATTTGTTTTATGAAATTGTCAACATTTGTGATAGCCATTGTGCATACAATTTGTGAAATTATGTGTGATTTTGTGCTGTAAAGAACAACAAATTTATAAGATGTTTGTATTCAATCCAGAAATGGTAACTCATATTTTTACCCAAATCTCGTTCTCTTAATCAAGCAGAGTAGTAGTGACAACTTATTGTTCATATATGTGAACATTTCATTGCACACTTTTATTCTTTCTTCATTAAACAATCTACATCATTTTCTTGTATTTCTCATCATATTTTGTCTGTAAATTTCACAAATTTGCCAAATAAATTTTATTAATTTTAGCCAAATAAACATTCAAAACTCTGATCATTGACTGTCTCTCACAATTGATGGGATGTTTTTGTTTATTTGAAGACAAGATGATAAACTAATAAGCAAAGAATGAGAATTGAGGTCACTGTTTGTATGCATCCTGGTCCTACCATTTATGCAGTTATAGTTAGTATATGTAACTAATTCTTATTTACTGAATGACTCTATGTAATATAATAAACTTAATATAGCCTTAATAAGAATATTTAGTTTTATATATAACTAGCAGATGAGCCTGGCATTGTTTGGACAAAAAATAACAGCAGCAAAGATTATTAGATTATTTTGCACTTCTAATCCTTGTATTATATTATATTATAGTATTTGATTTATATTTACAAAGCTTATCTTATGTAAGAGTTTATCACATTAAGTAACCAATCTAACACATTTAAAAAATTTTTTAAATTGTGTGCATTATGAAGAATAAAGAATTTTTAAAATATGTTAGATTGGTTACTTGATGTATAAACTCTTATGTAAGATAATCTTTGTAGTTATATAAATCAAATACTATAATATAACAAACATTAAAACAAAAACCATATAAAGAAAGTTTGGTATTTCAGCCCACTGTTGTCATGTTTCAGATGGTACAAATATTCAGATGGTACAAAATGGCACAATTTCATTTGTTAAGTAGACTCCAATTGATATCTTAAATTTTTTAATGGTTTAAGTGGTTTTTGAGGGTGCAGTTAACAATGAGGAAAAAATATCTTAATATATATCTTAAAAAATCTTAATATAATATAAAATCTTAATAAAATATCTTAAAAAATCTTAAATTTTTTAAGATATCATATTTTTAAGATATCACTATTCCATTCACAGCTGAATATCAAATGGTAATCTGCCAATGAACCAAATTTTGGAAAAAAACAGACCAAATATTTACACTCAGCACCCTCAAAAACACTTAAAATATATTTTGTGCTTATTGGTAACTTTGTATTATGTAATTTTCCTATTGAATGCCACATACTGCTAGTCTGATAGAAAGAAGGGACTGTTGCAGAAGGGGGTTGAAGTAATTCAACCAAAAGTAGTTGTTGACTTCCTCCTTGAAGACAGGATGGTCAATGACAACTAATTATTACTGGTCTAGTATTAATATTTGGAAAATGATCCATATTGGATAGGTTGTGATGGCCCCCGCATATGATTAAAGTTGTTAACCTTAATGTCCGAAATACTTCATTCGACTTGTTTAAATAAAAAAAATCTTGTAAAAATGCTAGAATAATTCCTTTTATGTGATAATAGTGTTTAAATTTTGGCAACAGATTGTTTAAACTGTGGGAATTATGTTCTCATAAATATTGAGTTTATAGAAAAATTATTGGACTGCAAAATTGTAAACCTATAAATTCTGACTTTTGTTCACCTGTCTGTCTGTCCTTCCTTAATCTCAATAAAGGAGTGGGATAGATAAAAGTTGAGACCAGATGTGGAAAGATTAGAGGCAGGAGGCCCAGATTCACTATATACGAAGTTCTGGTTTGGAATGGAAGTCATATTACAGTAGAGTATCAATTATCCAAATACTGATTCACTGAAACTTCGTTTAACCGAAGGCATTCCAGTTGGCAAATTCAAATTCTCACTAGTGCTGTGGCATTGCACCACTCTCCTACTCCCTGCCAACCTAAACACATGTAGGCCTAGTTTAATGTACTATATTATGTAAGATGTATTTGTAAGACATGTGATACAAATTATATACAGTACAGTTTTGTGTTTAATATATTTTTTCATAAATGATCAGTTATCCAAACAAACCCAGTCCTGAATTGTTTTGGATAATCGATGCTCTAATGTACTTCGATTCAAAATTTTCTTCTGAATGTAGTTAGGTGACCAGCATGGAAAAGTATGATGTACAGGGGCAAGACACTGCTAAAAGAATTGAGAACATTATAATGAAAAGTTGTAGCTCTGCATTGTGACAATGTCACAATAAATAATCACTAACTAGAATTAGTTTGGTTATGGCAATGCAACACGTGAGTGATCTGCCAAGGAGGGGTGCATCCCAGGAAAACTTTTATAGGAAGCTAGACCCTATTTAGGTATTACTAACATGAAGAAAACCTGGAAAACTCCATTGCCAGTGACCTGGCACATGGAAAACTCCATGTGCCAGGTCACTGGCAATGTGTGAACCCATGACTAACTAACTGCCAGTGTTCAGTGGTTTTATCCACTCAGCTATTGGAAGACACTTATTAGAATTAAGAAAGTACTGTTCAGAAATGAAAAAAAAACTGAGTTGTTAGATGTGGAAATTAAACCTATATATAGTTCCCATAGGGTAACACTTTTGATTCCATACAGGCAAGTGCTATATGCTACCTATCTCAGTAATGATGTAGCAAGGTCTATTTTGCACTTCAGTGAGTGATCAGTATAATGAATATAATCCGTTCCAAAACCGTGTTCACTACCTGAATGTTTGTTAACTGATTATCGATTTACCATAGATTTTTGTGGGAATTTGATTAATTCATTGTGGAGACCCCAAAAAATAAATAAAAAATTATATACTTTCTTACTATGTTTATTTACATGTAATAACAAACTAAAAGCAATCTATCCATTTTTTCATGGATGGTACATCTTTGTTTCTCAGGTGCATTTTCATTACTCCTTTATCTGCTTGAGTGTTTTTGATTATATCTTTTTTAGCTAAGATTTTATCTACTGTAGACCTGTTGAAGTCATCTGCCTTCAATAGAAGACATCTTCTGCCCACTCTCTTACCTTGGCTATTATCTCTTGTTTAGTTCCTACAGTGAACACAGTTCTTGACACTTCACTTTTTTTAGGCCCTATAATATTATCAGGTTTTTAAGTAAAAATTATAGGTGCAAATGGTGGAAACACTAGGTGCAAACCATGGGTTGCAAGAAAATTTTTTGGGGTCACCAAATTCAAATAAATTTATTTGACAATAAAAAATATAAGGCTTTTCTTCAACAAATATTAGGTACTAGTAAAATATTGAAATAAAATTATATTATTTATAAAAATAGAACAGCATATCTCACATTGAATTCGTATGATGTAAAGTTTTTTAAAAGTATTTTTCATTAAATAAATATTTATACCCACATGCATAAATAAAACCATTGTTTCATAAAATTATGTATTTTATTCACACCTCTAATAAGGCAGAAACATAAGTGCAAATTCCAGAAAGAATTTCACTTTAACTACATTGACGATTAAAAAAAGGTGTTGTGACAAAGTACACAAAATGGGGGTTGGAAATGAAAGTAGTTTGTGCATCACTGCCATACAGCATGTATAGATACCATTAAAATATAGTTTTACAAATCTTAAATGCAGTGTCACTTCTTCTTGTGTTTGTTCTGTCAGGTGTTTGTTATCTGAACATGTGTTTGTTGTCTGAACATAAAAATCTTTTGCAAAAGTGTTCAATTTTCAATTTGTTCATAGTCCGAACTGTTCGTTAACCGATCACCATTGTATATCATTGTCACAGTAATTAAGTGAATATAATATATATATTTTTTAAAATTATATCCTTTTTTGTAAGAATTATATTTAGTTTATTATTTTGTTAAATTTTTTGCCAATAGATGGCACTACATGTAAATCAGTAAATTGAATGTAGATAGAAATGAATTGATGTTTTGGAGTGGTTTGTATGGCATTATCAATGTTAGAAGTAATTGAATGTAACTGCTGAGTTTTGTAGCAATTGGTCGAACAGCCTATGAGTGTATAGCAAATAAACATCCTCATTTATATATATAGATTACATAAATACAGTTTTGATATTTTAGTTTTGTTAACATTGAATCAGTATCTTACTACTTTTTAACTGATTATAATATATGATTTTTTTAGACATTTTATCCTATGGATCAAGTTTATACAGTATCAGAGGGTGATGTATTAGTAAGTAAAATATTATCTAACAAGTAATTGAAACTTAGTTTTTTTATTTGCCTTTTATATAATTGCAGTCTTCTAACTTTTGTTTTCGTTAAATCTTATTAAAAAAAATATTATTGTTATAATTAATATAAATAATTTAATAGAAAATTTTTTTATTAGGCTGCAAGATGCACCTACAATTCAACTCAAAGTAATGAACCAATATATATGGGGTAACACAAAAATTTAAACTTTTCTAACATTTTATTTACTTACTAATTTTGATTATGAGTTATTTTTTTATGAACAGGTCAACAGCAAACGATGAAATGTGTAACTTATACATAATGTATTATACAAATGCAAATGATGGTAGTTCGTTTGCTCGTTGCTTAGATATAGAGATTCCTAAATTAGTTAATGAGCTTCCTGCTGATAGTGATGTTCCACTTTCTCCTAATCCTGCATTAGAAGAAAATGCTCATACCAATCAATGGAATCAAAAGACTTCAGTTTCTAAAAAAGGAAACAATGCCTTCACAGATGCTTACTATAGACCTTATCCAATACAAGAAATAGAAAATTTTCATTCCAATAAATATTATCAAGATGATGATGATTACAATAGTGAATTCAGTAAGAAGTGTTTATCAATTTTTCAGAATTAATTATATGTTATAAAGTTATGTTAAAATTATTAAAAGAAAAGAAAAATAATTAAAATTGTTTAAAATTAGCTTATAAAGAAGTTGCAAGTTGGCCAGCAGAAGATAGAAAATTTGGTCAAGTAACAGCAGTTGATATTGATTCAAATAATAATATAGTGATATTTCATCGTGGAGATCATGTCTGGAATGGATTGTAAGTTATTAAATAATTGAAACTTAATAAAAACATCAGAATGTAACAAAACTAATTTATTATACTTTAAAAATAAACTTCTTATTTAGATCATTTGATGTTGAAGATAGATATTTGTTAACTGAGAAGGGTCCTATTGCAAGTCCAACAATTGTTACTCTTGATTCTGTAACAGGACATGTTCTCCATCAGTGGGGAAGCAACATGTATGAAATATTTAAATCTTACATTAAATAATTGTAACTTATATGCTTAAAATAGCTTTAATTTTTTTCAGATTTTATATGCCTCATGGTTTAACTCTTGATGGGGATTATGTTTGGTTGACTGATGTTGCTATGCATCAGGTATACTTTTAATTTTTTTTGTCTAGTGATTATTTAAATGCTGATTTATTTTGTATTTAACTATATTCATTTAATCCATTCTGAACAAATAATTTACTATAATTATTTATGTTTATATATAAATGAATTTATTTATTAATAACTTTTCCAAAACTTATAAAAGTTTTTAAATTACTTTTGCATTTTGAATAATAAATGTTATAAATAATTAATACATTGAAAGTATTTTAAAAATCTACATAAAGTAATTACTGTCAAGCTTATAAAAAAGTTAAAATAATAGTTTTTAACTATAAGCCATATTTTCAGATTTTTAAGTATCCTTTATCAGGAGATATTAAACCAGCATTAACCTTTGGAGAGAGATTTGTACCAGGAAATGATGATAAACATTTTTGCAAACCCACTAGTGTTGCCATTAGTTCAAATGGTGATATTTATGTTGCTGATGGGTAAGGTTATAAAATTTATAAAATATTTCTATTTTTATCTAAAATTTTTTAAATTGTTTTATTTTATGTTTACGTATTAGTTATTGCAATAGCCGTATTGTTCGTTTATCATCATCAGGAAAATTTTTAAATCAGTGGGGTCAGAGTATTCAAATAGGTACTTTTGAGAATAAAATTAAATTTCTATTTATGTTATACATTATTTCTGTGTTTCAAATTTACTTTTTATTCTTTTAGGGAATTTTCCACCTGGACCAGGAGATTTTGCAATTCCTCATAAGATAACTTTAGTTGAAGATAAAGGTTTAGTATGTGTTGCTGATAGAGAAAATGGACGAATACAGTGTTTCACGCTTATGTCAGGAAACTTTCATTTTGAAATTGTTCATAAAGAATTTGGAGGAAGATTATTTTCAATAGACTATAGTCCTAGCAAAGGTAAAAACTATTAAAATTCATTCAGAAATTTTATGCTAATAAAATTAATAAAATCAAATATAATATGTACAGAATCACCATTAGTAATTCAAAATATTTTTAGTACATAGTGAAAGTTTTAAAACAATTTTTATTTTATAATAAGATAAATGAACAACACTATGTTGCAATATAAATGTGAGGGGCTAGCAGGGGGTATCAAGTCGGGAATGTACTCAATGTCACTTAATTAGCAGTCCTGTTGCCAAACATGCTTGTGGTTGTCAAAGGATGGCTTCCGAAGATGTTAATGAGAAACAAGGATCAGTGACGATCCCCTGTAAGTTGCTTTTTCCTGACACCAGATAGTCAATTATGCGGACTATCATACATTTGTGAGGAATTTCGAGGGGGAGGGATGTGAATAAGTGGAGTGGACAGAGACTTTGGATTTAGACATTAATGAGACCATATTATAAACAAGATATTTAATAAAACAAAATAAAATAGCAAAAGGATTACAAGGTTAAAGCTCCTAACTTGCGTGAGAGAGAGAGTTTACATTCACAAGAAATTATACTACCTTGAACTTAAGTGGTGTTCGTAGTTGTAGTCTTCTATAAGTGGATTGGATAATTAATCTTCTATGCGTTTCTAAATGTCTTCTATATGGGATCTTTGATATCATGGGAGGCGATCTTTAGTCTATACGGAGATCAACTCTTATGTGGCCAGTACTTATCTTCAGGGAACTCCGCAATTATTATGTGGCACATCCTATATCAGGAAACTGCACGCAAAGGTGGGAAATCTAACTCTTTTTATAAGGATGGCTGACTCATCTGCATGGGACAATGAGTAGCTCTAGTCGGTAACAGAAAGGAAGTTCGTTTCCTCCCTTTTTTCAGAAACGAAAAATGTACATCCTTTGTGTTAAAATCTCTCCTTGATAATAAGATATGTTAATAATATTTTATATTAATTAAAAACGATCCCTCAGATCTCACATAAACTTTAGAGCAACCGAACATGATACAACAGAATTAATAATTGAAATTTATGAAGTCATTTTAATGTCCTCATATTTTATTGAAATGTGAATACTCATTAATGATACTTTAAAAATAGAAGTTTAATTTGCTAACATTTGATTTGACATTAAAAAAAATAATAAAGTCAAATAACATTTACACAGGATCACAGTTAATAGTTGAATGAATGTTTAGCACAAGTAGAAATTTTAAAACAAACTTATTTTAACCTTAAGTGCATCTAAAAATAAATTATAAAAATTTATATAAATTTATCTTCAAATTTGTTGTGTATTATAGAAAACCCTTAATGTTTACTTTGTTTTATTAAAAAAAATCTATCAAAATTTAAGAAAACAATAATAATTCTTTATTTTTTAGTTTATAAATTTTTTTATATTTGTAAATTTATTAAAAACTAAACAAGAAACAAGTTTATATGTATTATATTATATTTTTGTCTTTTGATTACGTATGTTTTTATGGTGCTAATTGTTATTTGGGATATTGATTCCATGCTATATAGTAAGCTATATAATAATTAAAAGATCAAAAATTATTTCAGGAGGATTATTTTTTGCTGTATGTGGTCCTTCCATCTATTATAAGCATCCTGTTCAAGCATTTGTCTTTAACTTCACTAGTCGGCAGCTACTTAATTCTTTTAAACCAAAACAAGGAGTAAGACAATAACATTTTAAATACAGTTATCAATATAAATATATGGATAATAGTAATTATTTATCATAATTTTAAAAGTAGTAATTAAAAAATTTTTGTATAATTTTAGACATTTACTCAACCTCATGACATCGCAGTCACTCATGATGGTACCGAAGTTTTTGTCTCTGAGATTATGCCAAATAAAGTTTGGAAATTTCTTAAAGGTAAACATTCTATTTCATATTCAGAAAATTATTTTTAAGCTTAAATGTTTTTGAAAAATAGAAAATAGTTTTTACTTTTGCACTAAAATTTTAAGTTTATTTTCTTTTCAGTTACTCACAAATCAACAAAAAAAGTTTTAACTGATATGCCTCCATTACAAACTTTATCACCATCATTATCGTCGCAAAAAATAACACCTGAAAAATCTACTCTCTTACTACATACAACAAATAAATATTCAACAACAAAGAAGAAAGAATCTGATATTGATAATTTCAAGACATCAATGATAATTATGGCACTTTTGGCTATTCCAGTATTACTCTTGATAATTATAACATCAGTTATCCGTCTTAAAAAGAGAGGTAAAAATATTAATAGAAAAATAAAAATTATATCAAAAAATTCATGTATTGTAATTATTTTTTGTTAAATAATTTAGGAAAGCTCCAAAACTGTTCTTTAAGTCATCTGAAAGGATGGTTGGGAGGATATCGGACACCTCATCCCCAAGATAAATTTAATATAGGAACATTGCTAAATCCTCATAAAGGATTTGATCGAGTTGCAATGGAAGAAAGTGACATTGAGGAGGGAAGTGGCTCAGAAGTTGAAGAGTTCAACGTAGTTGCAAGGAAAGCTTAAATTTATAAAGTTATATTAAAAATTTTGAAGCTATATAAGAGCAAATTGACAAAGAAAACTCTACTTTAGTTAATGATTTCAGTGATTTATGATAATTAAATTAATAAAAAAAGGCAAAATTGCAAAAAATATATTACAAAGTAAATAAACAATTCAAAAAGAAGCATAAAGCTCCTTCAAAGTAAATTAAATTACACTAAAAACATTGAAAAGAGAATTAAATAATATTTTTTACTTTAATAGTATGGTAACAAATATATTTTTATGCATNAAATTCATTTATAAAGTTTCTATATATATATATATTTATTTTTATATATATATTTTCTTTTATTTAATTAGAGATCTTAAATTCTTCCTCTTCACACTAATGTATTACTGTGATAAAAAAAAATTGCTTCATTGCAGTTAGTATGTTACACTTTGAAACGTTTATATTGTCATAAATATGGTTATGTTTTTCTTTACAAAACATAGCCTATAATTTATGTTACTGTATGTTTGTAATTGTCCATAAACATACACAGTTACAATTCGGTATAGAGTTAATTATTTTTGCTACAACATAAAATTTTCTTATGTTGTACCAAAAATCTTTACAATTCATCAGATGTTTATGATTAACTGCTCATCAGAGAGTCAAAGAGAAAAGTTGTGGATATTGTACAGATAATAGAAGAAATATATTTTATAATCACTTATATAAATTTATTAATTATAAAGATGTTTTAAATATTATAAATTTTTATATATATGTATAGTTTATCATTTCTCCCAACTTTATTTATTAATAAAAAATTTTTATTATACAAATGCAATAATAAATTAAAGTTGTTTATCATATCTTTAACATGTTTATTGTTGTAAAAAAATGCAATGTCAAATTATTTTAATTCAACACTATATCAGTTCAGGATAAGCTATTGTTTTGTATATCATTGTTGAATAATCTCATCATCAGAGCTGTATGTAAAATGTTTCTACAAATTTACAAAATTAGATATTGATTCATTTAAATTATGTAATTTAAAAAATAATATAGAAACAGGATATTTAATATGTGCTTTTTTCAGAATTTAATAATACTAAGAATACAGAAATTTTAATTTTTAGATAAAGATACTACAATTTATGAAAATTATATCAGAAATTTAGATAAATGATTTTTATTTGTGCATATATTCTAGTTTGACATTATCAATATTATTTCCAAAACAGCACAAACAAAGAATTATAATTCAGGTTTTGATCAAATTATCAAAATACTCTGTAGCTTGCTGTGGAAATTGTTGATTTGTTTGAAAATTCAAGGATGTATTTATGATTTGATACTTAATGAGAATTTCTTAAATAATCTTAAAAGACTTCAATTTGCAATTGATAATTTAAAACATTCATTTATATGATTGATATGTGATTTACCTAGACAATATTATCAATATTGAATGCCCACAGATTATCAAATTGTTATTAATTTTACTAATATAACATGTTTGTATTCTTTTTTAATTATAGATCATGACAAATTTTATTTTATTTTTTGCAAGGATATTGTAATTATATATGTTCTTCCTATGTTTAGAGTATGTAGGCAGCTAGTACTTTGTATAGCATATGTTAAATGTTGCATGAAAATAATTTTGTTGTTGTTGTATATATTTTAACTTATATATTTAAAAAAGAAATGAAAAAAGTTTATTGTAATTTGAATATTTCAAAGAAACAGAATTTTGATGTTTGATGGCAAATAAAATTTCAGTTATAAGAATGATTCATTATTTAAGTGAAATTTTTTATATTATTATTTGTAAAATTTCACCTTGGCAAAGTTTCAAATAATTGCCTTAAATATGTGAAAGCATTCAAAATATTGCCAGAAAATATCATAGCAATTTTTGGAGAATTGGATCTCTTGTTTTTGACATTTGTATAATATACTTTATTTTAAAATTAGAAAAGCATGCAAAAAGCATCAGAAATAACAGATTTTTTCTAATATACTTTTGTGGGATTAATTGATATTTTTTCAAGTATTCAAATGATTAATAAATGTTTTCTAATAATTGGTTTTCTTTAAATGATTTTAAATTACCATACACTCAATATAATTATATAATTGCTTCACGTGACAACTGTATTTATTACATATAATTAATTGTTAACGTAGAATAACTTCTTTTAATCATAATTTATGAATATTTTTCTAACAAAACTGGCTGGGGTCTTGACTTTCCCATCACACTTGAACTTGAGGTTCAGGGAACCATTAAGACCGATAATCTTTAGTTATACTAGGATATAAAATTTAAGCAATAAGAAAAGCTTAAATGAGTAATTTTGTAAATTATGACAAAAATTACCAGTTAAAATAAGTTTAAAAAACACTACGACGCTAGTTCAAAGTTAAAATTGTGTGTAGCGCCATCTGTTATGAGATGAATTAGCAAAATGTTATTTTTTAATTTATTATAAGAAAGCAAAACAAGGCTTGGAGTTCATAAATTATTATATAATATTTAAATTAGTCTTTAGGCTTGTTTTATTCTATTTTCGTCCTACAAGTACTAACGGCCTTTTTTTTTTTAAATCAAGGCCGCCATTGGCTCGGCCTAGTCCACAATGGTATGACCGGATGGTAAAGGAGGGACACGACATATCCAAGATATAACATCCCTAAAAAATTTGTGAGATTATTTTGAATTGCTGGGATTCAATTCTAGGTCTCAAGCACTGTTGGCTGAGGCCTTGACTGCGTCGGTCATCCAGATTATTACAACACATTTATGGTATCAGTGGTGGAATTACAATAGCGCAAAGTGGTTTGGCCAAACCAGAGCCTGATGGCAACGGGCCCAAACATATGCAAAAAGCCTAAGCTCTATGAACAAACAATTATTTTGATTATAGGTTTGACAGAGCCTTAATTTTTACTGATAAAACTTAAAAGTTCTATAAAAGAAACACACTTAAAAATGCAACAACGAGTTGTGTAAGTTTTGCGCAATATTTAGAACTGTGTGTGTTACGTTTCTGTTATATTTTATTATTAAAAACTTTATATTTTTAATTATTATAAAATGACGAAAAATTTAATTTTGAAGGTAGAGATGGGCTTTATAAAAATTGTAAATTCTAATAACTAAGTCTATTAAGTCCGATCCTACCGAGATATGACACACGACTCCCTGTATCTTCCATCTCCGTCGAGCCACCTTTAGTGATAAAAATGTAATAGTATCGATCCCCCGATACGCAAACCTCCCTGCAAAATTTCAGAAATTTTCGACAAAAAGCACAGAAGTTAATTAGCTTCAAAGAGGGTAGCATCCTCACACACATTAAGACCCATGCATACAGAAAAAACCGAACATTTTTTGCATTTCTGGACGTTTCAGGGACTGAAAAATAATAATAAACACCAAACAAATGTTTGGTGTTTATTATTATTTTTATTATCTTTTATTAGTTTGTATTCCTAATTTGTGATTTAATTTGTACATAAAAATAAATGTTTTTTCTTCCTATTTTCTCTCTGTATGTTTTTTCCCATAATAACAACTGTATACCTACTTTTTGCACCCTCTCGTATGTAACAGAAGCGGGAAAATAATTGCAAAACAACAATATTGTACTAACATCAAATACTTAAATTGGACAATAAATAAACAAATAAATAGACACACTTAGTGAGCTTACTTCTTTATTTGCTAAGTGTAATTAGACGGAAAATATTTCCAGGAAGCAGGTAGGCCCTAGCTATACAGTCTCCTAGGATACAAAAAAATTTCAGGTGCGCCACTGCCAACAACACAGTATCAGTTAAAGGTCTGACCGTGGCGCCAAAAACCTTTGAGCCGGCCTTCCTAGGAAATTTTTACTTGTTGTTTTTACTTACAAAAAAGAAAAGGAAGGTTCGATACGACTACATTGAGCAGGAAGACTTTTATTTGAAAATGTGGACACCCAGGTGACCAAACCAGTTAAGGCTTCAATCTACCGCTCTGGAGGTTTAGGAATCCAATCAGGACAGAAATTTTTGGCGTGGTCTGTCCCGAATATGTCAGGCACCGTTTCTCCCTACCCATCCGATCCATTATCGGCTTGGCCAAAACCATAATGGATATGATTATAAAAGAGATCCACAGGGTGGAAAAAGTAATAAAAACTTCAGGAATATTTTGGGTACCGTCCTTCACCACCCGACGCCTTTATTATGGACCTGTCCGAAGTCATAATGGGAATAGGAAAGCTCTCTTAATACCTACAGGGCTGAATGAGTAAAAAATAAGTGAAATAAAAATGCATTACCTCAATATATTCAAATCTCTTAATAATTGGATTTGGAAAAGTATTTCATTATTGTAAGAAGTTGAAATTTCAATTCCTTCTTTCTCAAAAAACAGACGATAAAATAATTTATTTTAATAAAACGTCTGATGATAATTTTCAGAATAATTAATCAAATGAAATTATATTGATTTCTTTCTTCTTAAAAATAAGTTACTAAATAATTTCTATAATTTTTCCAATATGCCAATATATATATTACATTCGTATGAAAATTATCGTGAGTTATTAAACAATAATGTACATGTTTTAGATAATTTGTTAAGTTTTGATAATTTTTCTCATTATATATAGGCCCGAGCTATACAGTCTCCTAGGATACAAAAATTCAGGTGCGCCACAGCCAGCATCACAGCATCAGTTAAAGGTCTTTTAAATGATGCTGACCGTGGCGCCAAAAACTAAAATAAAAATTTTCATTTGAATATTTACGATGTTTGCGTAAAAGATATAGTAATTTAAGCAATAAATCAAAAAGGGGACTTGTCAATGATTTTGGGATATATGAATTAATACCAGGGCTGTGGATCGCGTAAAAATTTACCGACTCCGACTTTTCCTTACCATCCGACTCCGACTCCGTTTCATATACATAAGTTGGTAAGTAAAAAGGGAGTCGGAGTCGGCGGATTTTTTGACGACTCTGACTCCGGCCAAAACACCAAAACTCCACGACTCCGACTCCACAGCCCTGATTAATACGTAAACCAGAGATTCTGGTGG